TTATCGGGAACCATGTATATTCCAGGCACTGTCCTAGGCACTGGGACAACGAAAAGGCAAAAGACGATAATGCCGAAGGTGATGATGATAGCAGACGTGTAGTGTGTTCTATGTGTCACACTGTTGGTGTGTAGCAACTCATTTAATCTTCATAATAATCCTATTAGTTATCTGCCATTATTATCCCCATTTTATTTTATCTTTTTATTATTTAAAAAAGTTCGTTTTAGCATTTGTTCATTTTTGAGAGAAAGAGAGACAGAGCACCAGCAGGGAGGGGGAGAGAGAGAGAGAGAGAGAGGGAGACACAGAATCCGAAGCAGGCTCCAGGCTCTGAGCTGTCAGTACAGAGCATGACGTGGGGCTCGAACTCACCAACCGTGAGATCATGACCTGAGCTGAAGTTGGATGCTTAACCGACTGAGCCACCCAGGCGCCCCTTACTTTCCCCATTTTAGAGATGAGAACACTGATGCACAGAGATATTTAAAAACTTGCCCAAAGTTACTCAGCCAGTAAGAGATGGAGTTAGGATTTGGAATTCAAACCTTAATGGTCTGGGTTCAGAGCACTTGCCTGATCCTGTCTTTCTAACATAAGGCAGACAAGTGGTCTCAGACGGTGTGAAAAGTATCCCATACGAGGTTTGATCAGGACACACAGGAGACAGATTGTTAATCCTGCCTGAAGGGTTTCAGGAAGGCTCTGGAACGTCTTCCTCTTCAGGGCCACTCACCACCTGGCCCTCTTTTTCTTTCTGTGACTTTTTGGAGCCCTTTTTCCCACACAGTGGCAGGCCATCTCCCTGACGGTCATCGAGAAGGTCCAGATTGCAGCCATAGTTCTGGGCTCTCTCTTCCTCGTTGCCAGCATCTCCTGGCTCATCTGGTCCTCACTCAGCCCTTCAGCCAAGTGGCAACGGCAAGATCTGCTCTTTCAGATCTGCTACGGCATGTATGGCTTCATGGATGTCGTCTGCATAGGTGAGGGCACCCCTCTCCCCCTTACCTACTCAGTGGTTTCCTCCAACTCACACACTTAACTTTCCCTGCCCATTCCCTTAGCTCCATAGCCACAATTTTCTACCACTGGGAGCCTTTAGGGCTATCTTGGTGCCCCTCCCTTCCCTGCCTCTTCAGGTCTTTTGCATACCCTATCTCCTCACTCTGGCCTATATTTGCTTAAGTACCCCTGGCCTAGGTCTGGGCAGCCGGTGACCCTGGATCTCTTCTCCCTTTCGCTCAGGCCTCATCGTGCATGAAGGCTCCTCTGTCTACCGCATCTTCAAGCGCTGGCAGGCAGTGAACCAGCAGTGGAAGGTCCTGAATTATGACAAGACCAAGGACATAGGAGGAGACACAGGGGGAGGGACGGCAGGGAAGCCGGGCCCCAGGACCTCAAGGACGGGCCCCCCCTCTGGGGCCACCAGCCGCCCCCCGGCTGCCCAGCGCATGCGGACGCTCTTGCCTCAGCGCTGTGGTTACACAATCCTGCACCTCCTTGGACAGCTGCGGCCACCAGATGCCCGTTCCAGTTCCCATTCTGGCCGAGAGGTTGTCATGAGGGTCACCACGGTCTGAAATTGAACTCCAGGAGCGGGGATCTTGCATCAGTGCATCGGCCAGAGATAAGCTGTCATGGCTGCTGGAGGTACCACTTGGACAAGGTGCTTGGGGTGCACTGCCCCCACCACTGAGGATCTCTGTGGGCAGCCTCAAGTTGGAGACATTGTCTGGCCTCTACTGCCCATTGGGTAGAGACACCTGGATGACATTCCAGCCCCCACTGATAGTTCCTCACGCTTATCCTGGGGCAACCAGTGGGCAGGTGGGAAGAGCATCTTTTCTTCCCTAGAGAACCGTCCTTACCTCAGCTCCTAGGGCCTCCAGCCCTCCCAGCTCCACCATAGTGACTTGGTGAAGGGGGACCAATGCCAGAAGAAAGGGGTTGTAGACGCCCCATTCCCCACCCCATGGCCACAGGGCAGCTGGCAATAAGACTAGTATACATTGACCTCCCGTTCCCTGCATGAGGGCGGGAGGGACCTCCCCCTGCTCCACCCCCCATTGCATGGGGGGAGGGCATAAAGAATCATTTATATGCACGTGGAGACTCCTTTCTCATCTGGGGCTTTTCTGGAGGGTTGGGAGGTGTGGGGAGGTTTCTCTGCAGAGGTTGTGAATCCCCAGTGCAGCAGTGGGTTCTGAGTTGGAGCTGTAACTCCCACTTGTTGGTGAATAATTCACATTGGCTGCTAGGTGGCAGTGCTCAGAGGGACCTAAGGGGTGGGCCTGCCACCTGCAAGTTGTATGATCCAGAAAAAAAATCTCTCCGCCGTGGTTTTCCTGTCTACCTCATAGGGTTGGAATGAGGATAAATGAGGGACAGGTTGAATGCCATCACAAAGAAAATTAGTGATGGCATAAAAAGATTTCTAGACTAGCTGATGGTCCATTTATTTCAAATAGTAGCTGGTTAACAAATTCCAAAATGTGTTTTTTCATCTGGGGTTGCACAGAGCCTTGGAAATACGTGTTGAGTGTCATAATAGATACGGAAGTATGAGGGGAAATAGATACGCAAGTGTGAAGGATGGTGGTTATTTGCAAGAATGAGAGCTCCCCAACCCCCTAAACATTGGGGACTGGGGAAGGATGGAGCTGTCCTTCTTCTTCTGGGGATCTTGTGGGTTCTATTGGTCCTTCCCAGGTAATGTGCTCACCCAGAGAAGTGGCATGAAATGAATTTGGACTCATTTGGAGTGAGACAGACAGAATGTCCCAATGTTATGAATCTCCAACCCCAGCTTAAGCTATTCCTATGGAAGTTCAGGGTCACAGGTCTGATCCCGTGCCCCAGCTAGTGGTATTAACTGGAAGGTATTGCGCTTGGAGGCAGCAGCATAGAGAGCTGTTGTTATAGAGAAAAGGTTTGGGAAGGACTGGTTAAAATGTGGGTCAGCCTGAGGCCTCCTCCCTTTCTCCTGAGGCCTTGGGGCTGTGTATTATATGAATGATGGTGTCTTTTAAGTGAACTATTCATCAGCAATTAAAATAATTACTTCATACATTGTTAAGTCAGATCCAGATGCCTTTCCTATTATTGGTCCTTTCCTCAGGAAGATTGTTTTGCCTCCTCCCTGGGGATGTTTTTTGGGGAAATGCTTCTCTACTAAAGGTCTACTAAAGGTCACATCCTTGCCTTGGAAATGGTCTTCTCCATCCTTCTGTAAAAGGTGGGTGGGGGTGGTGGGGGTGGGGTGTTGGCTGCTGTCCATGGTGCTGGCACCCAGACTCCTGGGAATGGAGGAACTGAAGCTAAAGGCAGGTTTGAGTCATCTGGAAGTACTGGGGTATATCTCTTCTAACAAAAGAGAGGGAGAGAGATCAAAGAGAGGGGACAGAGGCCGATTTTTCCAGTGGGAAATTGTTTGCCTAGAGAGATAACCCTCCACATTCTTCACCTGGGAAGACAGAAGGGTCAGACTTTGCTGATTTGCTATTCACAAAATAGCTGGTGGGGACCAGAAGGAAGACAGCAAATCAGAGTGACTACTGGTACCTATCCTGGCAAATATGACAGGTAGGTATGACATAGGTGGGGTTTCTTGTGCCAAACCTGGGCTGTTCATGATGATGGCCCTCCTTGGAAACTTAGACACACCAAAGAACATATACACACAAATGCACTCTCTCCAGTTTCACTCTGGGTCCTAAAATTAGGTCAGTTGAGACAGTATGTTTCCCTCCCTTTCAGTACCATTGGAGGTCTTGCTTGGTATGGGGGTTGGGACCAGCAACCAGTATGGTCCTCTCTCTTTCCTTTTTTCCAACTTAAAGAGACTCTAGTCTAGGAAAGGGGTCATGGGACTGCTGCCCTCAAGTGAGCAGTCCTACTTGCCCAATGAGGAGTGTGGGTGTACAGAGTTCTCATCACTGATTCCAGGCAGGGGACAGGGTGTGAGAGGAAGCTGGGCTTTATTCTCCCTCAAAGCTCAGATCTGCTAAAAATCAGGTCACTTAGGTTCAAGTTAAGCTTAGTGATAGAGGAGTGGGGGTGGAGATGGAGAATACAATAGAGAGTTGAGAGGAGGGGCAGTAAAGGCACACAAACCTTAGTCTCTGCACAGTGCCTTGGGTATATTGTGCCCCTCTGTAGATCTTACAAAAATGGATACCCCCAGAAGGCCCAGTAGCAGACAATGTCTGTGGTCAGGTAGCCATGTCTAGGGCAGGGGGCCGATGTGGTAGGGGAGGAGGAGGAAGTGTGAAGTGAAATCTCCATCTCTATCCAGCTAATCGGAATGGAGAGGAGCAGGAAGAAGGGGGGCAAGTCTTGACATGGGGAGGGGAATCTAGGCTACAGAGGGGCTGCTGGGAGTGTGCTGAGAGATTTATTTGTATGGAAGATGAGTTAATCTGTATACATCACAAGGGGAGAACTGTGCCCAGCCTCTGGGGGGGCCAGAGAATGCTGATTCAGGGAAACAGAGGCTCCTTCTGCCCACCCCCCTTCTGCCTCAGTGCCCCAGGGCTTCTGGCCACCCCCACACTCAGGTTTCATCCTGTCTGAATTCACTTCTGTGCATGTATCCCTGTCTTTCTCTGAAGGAAATTAGCTTGGAGCAACTTTTCCAGAGAGGGCAGACATCCTCCAGTCCTGGCAGTCCAGGTTCCAAAAGTACTTCCACCAGAGTCAGTTGCCTCTGGCCATCTCTGCAAATCCTGTGCTCCCCAACCCACTTTTATAGCCTAGCCCTTGCAGGTACTTTTCACCACCACCACCCCCTTAAATCTCTTCTAGGGAGCCAGACTTAGCTATTCCCTGTACAGACAGAAACGTGTTGGGTTTGTGATGCAAACCACTCTCCCAGGTATCTAGACCTCCCATTGTCATGGAGGTCACTCCCAGGACCAGAGAAATCAAAGTAGGGGATTTGGTTGAGGGCCTTGCCTCTAGGACTTGTAGGAAGTAGAAGTGGAAGAGAAGTAAATCAAAAGTCAAGGATGAAACATTCGATTCTTTTATTTCAAAACTATGAATATTAAAAAATTCCACATATGATAGGAAGGTGTAGGCAGGTACAGGCCCAAAGACGTCTCTGTCTGGGAACTAAATGGTGGGACAAGCCAACTCCTAATAGTGATTAGAGAGTCAAGGAGAGTTTTAAAACATCATAAACCAGGTGAGGGCACACTCTCCTTGGTAGGGGCAAGATGAGGAAGGAAGAGAGTAGACAGAGCCTGATAAGCTGCTTATCCCTTCTGCCACATGGTCCAGATTCAATCTGAGAACCTGTATGGAGTCACCCAATCAGGGATAGGCCTTGGCAGGGGATATAAAGACTGAATAAGGTCTCATTCTTCCTCTCAAAGAGCTCACATGCAAGGAGCCAGGTGCAGACCAGATGCACAATCACTTAGCTCACGTGGTGATAAGTGCTTAGCCAGCAGCTCCTAAACACTGTAGAAGCCCCAAAAGGGCAGTGGTTGAGTCCTTCCCCAGGCCACCCAACATTATTAGTTAAAATTTGAGTTGGCCCTTGAAGGGTACCTATGATATGACCAGAAGAAAGGATGAGCAGACACAAGGATCATGGTTTTCTCAGGGCCTGATGGGTGAGGCCAATGCCTACTTCACACCTTGGTCAGGGCTGCCTCAAACAGTTTGCTATGATCCCTTTAACCAGTCTGGTCAGATAGACAGGTTTCAGGGGGAATACATATCTCTTGGTCTTGTGCCTGACAGATCCCTGCAATGAGAGAAAGCGTGATGATGACAGCCTCCATCCACAGGACTATCTGTCCACAAACTGTAGGTTAATGCTCCTCTCCGGTACCAGGACAGTCCGGGTCATGGGTCTGACTGGGGCAGCACCGGGCTCAGGCTGCACCTCAAAGTGGGTCAAGATCTGGAAAGGGGAGGAAGAAGGCTATCACTATGGGAGGGGTCTACAATGGTGGGTTTGATTGGTAAAGGGCATTATTAGTGTTAGGTTGGTCGATGTTGAAATGGTACCTGTGGTCAGTAGAGAATTTCTTGGTTAATGAGGGTAAGGGATTATGGCAGGGAAAAAGATAGTCTAAATACCGTTGCTCACCTTCTAGACCTATAACAGGATTGCGATATTTCGGAGGATTAGGTTTACCAAATCATATATTTTCCTATGCTTGTCAGAAGAGTTCATGGCTTTAGAGGGTTAGAGTCTCTCATGTCTAGATCACTCACCTGAGCCAAAGCCATTTGCAGTTCAAGCTCTGCGAGGCGTCTCCCCATGCAGCTGCGTTTGCCAAAGCCAAAGGGAAGAGATGCGAATGGGTGGGGGGCTGGACCTTCCCCCAGCCAGCGAGCTGGACGAAAAGAATTTGGCTCTGGGAACTGGGCAGGATCCCTTGAAGTGGCATAATGACACAGTGTGACCAGCGTCTGGTGGGAAAGGAACATAAACTTGTCAGTTTGGGCCCATGAATGCAGGGAGGGACATGGAAAAGAGGATACATGGATTGGAGCAAAGGCAGGCTCTGGTTGGTTATGGTGAAGTTTTTTGGGGCTACTTTTGGAATGATTTCTCCACTGTCCCATTTTATCCTAGAGAGGGGCATTCAGGCCAAAGGGAGGGTGAAGGGCTTATGTGGAATGTTTGAGAAGAGGACGGGGCCCAAGAGAGTGAGGGGATGGCTTAGCAAAAGGGATCCATAGGCTCTACTCACATTTTTGGGGATAATATAGTCACCCACACAAATGTCTTTGTCTGGGACACGGGAATTTCCAGGTACCACAGGGTATAGTCTGGATTGCAGAGCCAGAGGGAAACAGCAAGGTGAGGCCAGGACTTGTAGCCTCCCTCTCATCCCTCAGCCCACAACGTCCAAACCCATTCTTGGCCAGGAGTAGAGCACCATTTTCCTCTGCTCTCTCTCCCTACTCCCACTCACTATCTGCTTCCCCAGGCCTTCCCAGCATTTTCTCTAGCTCCTCCTCTCCTGTTCCCTCACCTTAGCACTTCCTTGACCACCGCCTTCAGCAGGGGCAGCTGGGATAGAGCAGTAGCTGAAGGATGGGCATTGGAGCCAGGGCCCAGGGCAGCTGTGATCTCAGAGTAGAGTGCTGTCTGGACTTCCGGGTGCCGAGAGAGTTCATATAGAGCCCAGGAGAGTGTATTGGATACCTGAGAGGACAGGTGAGAGCATCAGAGGCGTTAAGAGTGGAGACCCAGTGAAGAGGGCAGAATATGAGGTAGTCTGGAGCTCAGGAGGTGTTAAGCCAAGCTGGCCTAAAGGGCCATAGTGGATCCCCTGCAGCATCAGGGTGGCCCCTGAAACTGGAGAGGATAAGCTCTGGAAGTTGGGCTCCCAACAGGGAGGAGAACCTCACTGTGTCCACTCCGGCCAGTAGCAGCTCTGTCACATTGCCCAGGATGGACGGGGCAGGCAACTCTTCCCGGAACAGGAAGTAGGTCAGGTGTGCCCCAGATCCCACGTCCTCCTCAGGCTTTCCCTTGCTCCTCAAGGCTACCTCGGCCTCTCGCCGCTCCACGTGCTGCTGGGCTGTGTGGGGAGAAGGTACAGGGATGCCTCACCATCCCCGAACAGCTTTATGTTCCCCTATCCTCACTTCATTTCCATGCCTTACCAAATGCAAACATGTGGTCCCAGTCTCGGCAGAGGCGGCCCCAGGGTCCGGGCACGAGGCGGTGAAGCCAGCTAGGCATCGCCATGGTCAGCAGCGTGGACACAAATACCGATCCCACCGCGCGGATGAAGGTCTCTGTGTCTGGAGGCACTTCGGCCTCCAGGCAGCCCAGGCGTGAACCCAGGAGCACGGCGGCTATCCCTGGGCGCGAGGGGGCGCTGTCAGGGCACTGAGAAACCCAGGCGGGTGCCTCCTACACTTGCCCGTGCCTTGGGACTCACCTTCTAGTCCAAACTTGTAAAACTCTCCTGCCACATCCCGAACCAGAGCGGGCGGCCCAGCGCCGCGTCCCCGCTGGCGCCGAAGACGCCGCACAAGGTCATGGACCACGTCGTCTAGGGTTCCGGCGTAGCGGGCGGCAGCTTGAGGCCGGAGGAGCAGCGGGGCCAGGAGGCTGCGGAGCCTCTGCCATTCTTCGCCTTCCCTACGGGTGTGCAGAGAGGGGGCGCATCAGAGCGGATGGGGGTGTGTGTGGGTGGCTGGACGGAGCTGGCTGCAGCGAAGATGGAGCGTGTTCGGCCGGGGTGGCCAGAAAGAGACTGCCGCCGCTCCCCTGGGGTACCAAAACCTGCCCCTGCCTGTGCCCGCTTTCCATTCCCCTACTTCGTTACTCATTTCCTGCCCCGGAGGGGCCTGGGTTCCTGGGTAACTTGAGTCACAGAATCTGACATTCCACCTAGGTCCTGGTACCTTCGCCCCTTCGGCGGATTCCCAGGATTTTGGCTTCAAAAGACAAAGAGATGGGCGGTGGGGCAAGGGCGGGGCTTTACCTGAGCTTGAGCGAAAATGGCAGGGGTGGGAAGCCCCATTTACCAGAAGGTTGAGGGAAAAGGCCGACCTCCCTCCACACCCCGAGACAGACTGTCTCCAGACCAGCCACAGGAGAGGGGCGCAGCAGGACGTTTGGGCTTTGAGGCCAGAGAGGACTCACGCGGTGAGCAGTCCGCAAGCCCGCTGGCGGCGGCGACGGTGCTCTGCCCAGGGTGAGAAGCTGCAGCGCTCGGGCCGGGGACCCTCCTGTCGCAAGAGCTGCTCGATGAGTGTAGGGGCCGCCACGTACACAGTGCGCACCTTCCCAAAGCTGGCCAACCACACGGGACCGAAGCGCGCGACGCCCTGCACCTGGGAGAAGGGGAGGCGGACACTGGAGACGTGGGCCGCCGGCATCCAGCTCGGTCCGTACCAACTCCAAGGGTGTTCGCTGGGCTGTGCAAGGGGGAGCTTCCGTCTCTTCACGAGCTTCCAGCTGGTATGTAGCCCTGACGCTTCAAACCTCTCCTCCTTCTCTTTTCCTCGCTTCACATCCCTAGGAAGTTTGAGTGTGATGGGCAAGACGGAGGAACTTTGCACAAAGCGGACGGACATTCAGGTTCTCTCTTAGGTCGCCCGGGGTAAACCGAGGCGGAGAGATCCCAAAGGTTCCTCACGTGGACTATCTCGGGACGAGCCCCCAGCGACTGAATAGGAGCGCCTGTAGCTTTAAGCTGGAAACGCGGCTAAGGTACTGTGCGTTTCTGCCTCCCGAGCACTTGTTCTGGGCTTAACTCGGCCCCAACTTCTACAGAGCAAGAAGGCGCTTTTTGAGCGCACTCTTCTGCTGGGTATAGGGATGGACTCCGAGTAGGTCGAGCCACTGCCGGCAGCCCCAATTTCTCTATAGTTCATGGGCATCCGTTCTCACTGGACCTCTTCCTACTTTCTGCACTAGTCTGTCCTTTCTAGCGTTGTCAAAGCCAATTTCTCCTGCATTAATTTCCAGGAACGACGTCCCCCCTCTACCTGCAGCTCGTGTAGCCGCGACAGACCTCCCTTGCAGAAAAGTTCAGCAAGGAAGACGGGCGTGGATGGGCCTGGGATGTCCGCCAAGCTCCTGGGCGCGGAGTCGGAGCCTCTGGAACCCAGTGAGGCGCTCAGCTTGGGAGCACGGTGGACACGATGAAACATTCTGGAGGCGAGCTTGAGAGTCTGGGTCATGGTCTGGTTCAGGGAGCCCGTGAAAGAGAGCACTTTTCCCAAGCACCTAGCTTTCTTGTTTGAACCCCTATTTAAGCTTTGGGAGGGATAGTGGTGACGCCCCCTCTTCAAGCTCCTCAACCAATCTCCTCCCCTGAGTGGTCAAGCTGGGGATTGGGGATTAATACCCAGGAACAGTAGGCGGGGCTGGAGTTGCCTGGCAGCTCTCTTGGGTCTCATGTTGCAATGACCCTCTTGGGAGGTGAGGCCTGCCTTAGTTTCCCCTTTTGGGCTGGTGCCCCAACCCAGCAGCCTGAAGATCTCTTCCTGGGAAAGGCTATTTGGTGAGGTTTAGGATACCGAGGTACAGGGTCAGCCCCTAGTATTCCCACTTCCCCAGGGAGCCAGGCCCCCTTGGGCCCATCCTCAGGAATTCCCCATCCTCCAGCTCCTTCCGGACTACTGTAGCTGTCTCCATAGTCTTGGCTTCTGGGGCTGCACCTTCTCTGGATATAAGCAGAACTTTCCCACACTACCACATCTCTCCCTCCCCCCTCCCATACCTGACTCTGGGCAGAGGGTGGGTGAGTTAATGGGTTAAAGTGGCTCCAGGAGCCTTCATCTTTGTTCCTCAGGAGGAAAGGGGTGGTGTTTTAGGTCAACAAACTCCGTCCTTCCAGCCATGGGAGTCTGGGGCTTGACGAGCAGAAACAAAGGAACTTTTGCAAGTTAGAAAACTTCAGAGATTTCTCTGGGCTCCTGGATGGAGCAAGGGCTAAGTGTTTGCTCTGAACCTCCAGCTGACTCAGTCCTCTTTGGGGGGGATTTCTAGTCAGCAGCTGATTTTCACTTTTAGCCTCAGAAGCCAGCATAGTTTAGTTCTCTGCTCCTCACTCCCCCACCCTGCCTCTACTGGGATCTGTGCCAGTCAGTTAGCTCTGAAGTTCTGGAACCGAAGGTCAACATGAAAAAGGAGAGGGTCTCTGTGCCCCCCGCCCTGACTCTCCTGAGACAGCAACAATAAAGGCAGCAGATTCCTCGGGTCAAGTCTCAGGCAGGGAGAGGATGGGGGAATGGGAGAAGGCACGTGACACACGCTCTGGTCTTTCCTGAGAAATAGCAACACACGTATACATGTTATCCCCAGGACTGCAAAGTAACACAAGTGGACAGGCGATCTGAGTCTAGCAAGCAGTTTAGATGGACAGTGGAGAATTCCATTCATCACTCCAGCTGAGAAGGAGAGATCCCAGAAGGAGAAGGAAGTGCTAAGGGAGAGCAAGACCCCACATCCTTCCAAACATCCCTTCTGGTTCAAGGTCTTTTGACCTTCCTAGTCAGTTTCTTTTGCTTTCTGCTGGTGGTAGAGGGGCAACAAGGTGAGGTGGGGTAGTTGTGAATCCCAGGTTTCTGCCCTGGGCAGTTTCCCAACTTCTTTGAAAGACTGTCGCCTCTTGGTCCTGGCAGTCTCAGCTCGGAAGGTCCAGGGGTCAAGCTAAGGCAAGGTAAGCAGTCAGTGGCCAAGAGAGGGGGGATTAGGAGTCACTGCCTGGAGGGTGGGATCCTGTATTCTTCGGAAGATGGCTGGGAAATTCTTGCCTCCATTGCGTAAGACTTTCTTTCCCTCTTCGGTTGAGGTGCCCAGGTGTCCCACAATGGGGTCTTCAGTCTGGGAAAAGGAAGAATCCAATAAATCCTTGCCCACCTTTCAGGTTGCCCCTGGCCCTGAGACTCCTATCTCATCCCCCTGGCACTGAGCTGGGTTCAAAGACTACAGAACCACTCTGGAAAAGGCCTGCATCTTTGCCATTTCCTTTAGGCCCCCTACTTACCAGTTCCTCCAGAGGCACACGCTCAAACAGGGAGTGCCTTTCAAAATGGGTGCACATCCAGTCATGTAGCTCCAGTACATCCGTTATGGTATACACCAGCCCCTGCACAGGCAAAATCACTCTAGACAGGGGGCTGCATGCAATTGAGCGGGGAGCTGATGGGAGAGGTGGTGTGAGTCCTACATGCACCCCCACTGAATCCTTAGTGGAAGGTCTCTGAATAGGCCACTCACCCCACCCTCCCTCCTACTCCCGACTCACCCCGACTCTAAGCACGTAGGCATATTCTGCCAGCAGTGTGGGACTGATGATTCGCCACTTGTGCTTCGTCCGCTTGAAATGTGGGTCAGGGAAGAGGAAGAACATCTTTGTCAGCTGTGAGACAGACATGCATCAACAGGGTTGAAAACCTGGCCTCCGTGCCTCACCTGCCTACCAACCTAACCCATGGGGGCCCCTCCCCACCTGGCCCTTGCGGAAGAAGTTAGGAAGATGTTTCATGGCATTGCTACGGAGACAGGCGATGTTCTGGAAGCCACCTCCAGGAGCTGCTCGTAGGGCCCGAATCCGGTCCTGTACATAGTCTGAGACTTTCACCCGGATCTCCAGACCCAGAATCAGTGTGTCTGGGAACAGTGGTGATAGTTCCACTGGGCACAGAAATAAGAATGGAATCGTCAACCTCATACTGGTTTTCATACACCTCATACATGTGCAGGGTTTTCACACACTGTCTCATTTAATCCTCATAACACTCTGTGGTAAATTGTGAAGATGACAAAACTGAGGGTCAGAAATGCCCAAGGTCTTAGAGCTAAGAAGAGGCAGAACTGGAACTTGAACCAAGGTTTTCTGCCACCAAGTACCATGCTTTTCCTCTCTCTGTCACGCTGTTACCTCTATGGGAGGAACTAAAAATAGGGGTGCCTGGGTGGCTCAGTCGGTTAAGCATCCAACTTTGGCTCAGGTAACGATCTCACGGTTCATGGGTTCGAGCCTGGCGTCAGGCTCTGAGACACAGAGCCTGGAGCCTGTTTTGGATTCTGTGTCTTTCTCTCCCTCCTCTGCTCACACTCTCTGTCTCTCTCTCAAAATAAATAAATAAACATTAAAAATAAAAATAGAGAAGTGGCCTGGCATGCACGACTGGGACGATACAGACAATACAAGAGTAACCTGAAGACATGGGAGTAGAGCAGAAAGAATGAGTTCTGGTGAAGAAGGGAGGAGGGGAGGAAGAGTGGTGGAATCCCTGAGAAAGACAGTTCAGGATCACTGGCCACAGTGACTAATCTCTGACGCTTGTGCTGACCAGCTCACTGACCCGGCATCTTGCAGGTGAAGTGGCTCAAGTAGGGAGTGAGGCCGGGGTGGGGCCAGACAGGACAACAACCCAAGTTCTAAGAAGCATTTGAGACAACACCCTCCCTTCTCCAGGGCAAAGGCCACAGACCCCGAGTACAGGGAAGGTAGAGGCTCTCCACACTGATGTCACAGCACTGGTGTCTGGTCCGAAGGGGAAAGGCCAACTATGGCCCCCACCAAACCTGCTGAGGTAGCAGAACCCAGGCATTGCCTCTCCTTGCCCTAGAGAAAAGGCCAGAATGTTACCTAACAGGCCACCATAGCCACAGCCTATGTCTGCAAACTCTACTTGGGCCGGAGCTCTCTCTTCATTCTTATCCTTTGGGTCATCATGGCTCTTATTTTGAGTCAGTGGAGCGAAGAACTCTGGGTATAGCTCAGACCAGTCCATATCCTCTGGCTTCACAGGGCTATTGGAGAGAAGACAGGAGAGACGTGAGAAGGTGGGTCATGCCATTGCAGAAGTGGTACTACATGTGTGTGGGCGAATATGTAAGGGTGGGAGGTAAATGGGAAGAGCATTTCTCAAAAATTCTGTTAACAGTGGGCCCTGTGGTCTCTAGGAGACACAATGGAAACCACCCTTAACCCCCAGTGTGAATCATAGGCCCATCATGAGGCTCTTGATTGCTGACCTGTCCATCTCCACTTCTAGGAGTTGATGTGACTCCGGTCAGGCAGCTCTCCTTTCTGGGGCACAAGTTCCCCTTCCCCCGGAGACTGACTGACTAAGGCACCGGGACCTTACTCTTTTTTGTGTGCTTTGTGGTAAGAGGACAGAGTAAGGGGTGGGCGGGATTCATGTATATGTTTGTCTTTTTATTAAATCCGATCAACGAAACCGAAAGATGGAAACGCTATTCTGCCTGCAACAGTCCAGTCTCAGCAAGTTACTTTCTCTCCCCAGACTTGGCACCGCCACTGAGACTACGGCTAGAAGCCACGCCCCCTCCCAACCCTCCAACTCCGCCCCCGCCAAATCTCCGCGTCCCACCCCTAAAGCTGACGTCACTCTGCCGATTATCCCTTCTCTGAGACCCCGCTGACCGTTCCGGCACAATAGTCTTTCCCGGCTGCTGCGAGCATTCCTCCCTCCTTTGCCTCCCGTCCCCCTCACTCACTACCGCAGCGTGTGGTCTGCCATGGGGTTGGAGTGAGCACGTTGCCGATAGTAGCGCTTCTGGGGCTGCGGGGCCTCGGCTCCTGCCGCGTCCCCAGTCTCGGCTCCCGCCATGATCCCCGCTCCGGGTTACTCCACTGAACCCACGTGGAGACCAAGGCCCGAGTCGCACGATAATGACGCAGTCAGGCAGGTTGTGAGCAGACCCCGCCTTTTAAAGACCCAGAGTGAATTCGGTGGCCCTCGGCGCGGAGTGCCGGAGGGGGTCAGAGCCCGAGGGCGCCTTTGAGGCACCGATCTCCCGCTGGACTGGCAAGGCTTGACTTGGCACCCTGCCTCTTTGCTTAGCCCGCTTCTGCGTGGTCTGGGTTACCATCCTAGTTGCAGGCACCTATGCACCCCGCAAGTGAGAGGGGTCCCAGGACCCCGCTTCCTACAGAATTGATACTCGCTCCACCGCCCCCACCCCGTACCCGGGTCTCGGACCAGTCCGCCAGGGCCTGCCCCCCGTGGTTCGACGTGGGCCCCGTCGGGTGTCTGCTGGGGACCGGAGCGGGAGGGGCAGCTCCTCATCCCACCTCCAGGAAGTCAAAGTGCAGGAGGGAGGGCGGACTCGGGGAGGCGGGGCTCGGTGCCACGGAGAAGCCGAGTGGACCCGTAGCCCCCCACCCCTACCCCGCCTCAGATCCGGGATCCCAGAGCTGGACGCGGTGTCCGCGCACTCTCTCGGCCAGATGGCGGACCCCCGCGCAGATCCTGAATCAGAGTCCGAATCCGTGTTCCCGCGGGAGGTGGGGCTCTTTGCCGACTCTTACTCGGAGAAGAGCAGGTTCTCTTTCTGTGGGCACGTGCTGAGCATCACACAGAACTTCGGCTCCCGCCTTGGAGTGGCCGCGCGAGTGTGGGACGCGGTGAGGAGTGGGCGGCTCTGGACGAGGGTCCCGGGGAGGTCCAGATCCCCGACTCCCCCTCTCCCATATGGAGCCGTCCCTGCGACAGTTTTTTTTCTCTCTCCCTTTTTTTCCCCCGTAGGCTGTGAGCCTGTGCAACTATTTCGAAAGCCAAAATATGGATTTCCGAGGCAAGAAAGTGATCGAACTGGGCGCGGGGACGGGCATCGTGGGGATCTTGGCTGCGCTGCAGGGTGCGTGAACTTCGTGGCAGGAGGGAGTGGCGGGGACTGGGTGGTGGAGGAATAGTCACTCCCTGGATTCTTGGGAGAAGGGAGTGGTTTGCAACCAGGATCAGTCTCTTTTTAACACAGTGTGTGTGTGTGTGTGTGTGTGTGTGTGTGTGTGTGTGTGTGTATGCGCGCGCGCGCGCATCTTTCTGTGTGCCAGAGAAAGCACCCAGGGTAGTTGATTTGGGGGCCGGAAATAAAAATCGGGCAGGCTTTAGAGGAAGGAGTTGTTTCCACCTTTTTGCTCTTTGTGCTTTTGTGGACAATGCTGTCACTTAAAACCGCCTTTGCGGTTTTTGTCAAAATGCATATGTGGGGGGGACTCTGTAGGGGGAGCAATCTGCATGTATTAAACCTCAGGAGTGCTTTATAATTTTATCATGAATATATTTTAGATTTGTAAGGCTTTGACTGCTTGAGAGAAATAAGCTTGAGTTTCTGAGCGTTAGGGTGTGTTTTGTGGGAAGTGGGGTAGGAATTAGGCACCACAGACTTGGGAAAGGAAAAGGGAAGGGAAGTTTTGCCTCACTTTTGTCAAGAACCCGAAACTAGAAAGGAA